AGAGGAGAGACGAGAGATGAGGAGGAGAGAAGCGAAGACGAGATGAGAGGAGAGAAAGAGATGAGAAGATGAGAGACGAGGGAGAGAGAGACGAGAGAGAGAGTGAGAGAGAGATGAAGAGAGAGAGAGAGAGGAGAGAGGAGAGAAAGAAAGAGGCGGAAGAACGGAGAGAGAGAGGGAGAGAGAGAAAGGAGAGAGAGAAGAGGAGGAGAGAAGAGAGAGAGAGAGGAGAGAGAGAGAGAGAGATGAGAGAGAGAGAAGAGAGAGAGTAGCGAGAGAGCGGGACGAGGGAGAGGAGAGAGACACAATTAAGAGCGAGCGAGGAGTCGAGAGAGTGAGAGAAGAGAAGAGGGAGGAGAGAGAGGAGAGGAACATACAGACGCGGCGGAGAGGAGAGAGAGAGAGATGAGAGAGAGAGGGAGAGAAGAGAGAGAGAGAGAAGAGAGACGGAGAGAGAGATGAAGAAGAGAGAGAGACGAGAGAGGACGAGAGAAGAGATGGGCGATTGAGAGACGAGAGAGAGAGAGAGACGGAGGCGAGGATAGGAGAGAGAGAAAAGAGAGAAGAGAGGAGCGGAGACTGACGAGAGGAGAGAGAGGAGAGAGGAGAGAAAGAGAGAGGAGAAGAAAGAAGAGAGAGAGTCAGAGAGAGGAAGAGAGAAGAGAGAGAGAAAGAGAGAGTAGAGAGAGAGAGAGAGAGAGGAGAGAGAGAAAGACGAGAGAGAGAGAGAGAGAGAGAGAACTAGGAGAGACGAGGAGAGAGAGGGAAGAAGAGAAACGAGAGCGAGAAAGAGAGGGCAAACGAGAGAGAGAAGAGGAAGAGGACGAGAGAGAAGCAGAGGAAAGATGAGAGGAGAGAAGAGAGAGAGAAAGAGAGATCGAGAAAGAGAGAGAAAGAGAGAGAGAGAATTGAGAGGAGTAGAGAGAGAGAGAGAGAGAGAGAAAGAAAGAGAGAGAGAGAGATGAGAGAGCAGACACTACCATATGTACGTTACATTAAAACTGCTGACTACGACGATAACACCGTTGCCCTCGCTGACGTTAGCAGATAATAAATTCTCACACAAGCACACGCATCTGCAACACAAGCACCGTTATTAGGCGCATCAATAGTTCATGTGCTCTCTCGTCGCATGTCAGGGGGTGCTACAGGATTTGTACAGGAGGGCGGGGATCTACCTAACCCAAACTTACGAGCCACGCGAAGGGGGTCTGGGGGTCTGGGGTCTGTCCAAATTTTTTGAAATTAGACCCCCTTAGATGCGTTTTCTGCGCGACGGGGGGGGGGGTCCGTTCCCCCCCCCCCTTACACGCCCTGGCATGTAGGACAGACATATATCGTTGCAGATGTCCTTTATTAGATCGGCAAACAACTTGTTCAGTACGCGTGTGTGTGGTAACTATATAATTATATATAATTATACAGGGTGCACAATTAACGGGAGTCCGGACGTTCAAATTACTCCCTGATTTACTGTCGAATCCTCCCTGATTTGACATGTGCAGGCCAGCAGGACAGTACGCGGTGACACCCTGAAAATTCTGCCAGCCTAACGCTCATAGTGGTCTTATGTCCCCCAGGGGTACTGCTGCGAACGTACCCTGGGTACCCTGGTCACTATTTGATATGGTTAGCGTTACGATGGAGGGTAGGGTTTCGGTTTCGGGTTAGGGAGTAGTGCGTAGGCGAACTTTTACCTAACGGACCCCCATCGTTTAGTGGGAGTAGGCGAGCGTACGACGTTCGCATATTTAGATCAGTACCAGCGGTACGTTCCGGTATAACCGCCCCCCCCCCCCCTCCCCCCGACCGTTACCCGATGAGTATCGTTCCGGCAGTACCCGCGGTTACATAGACCCTCTTTAGCTTATACTAACTAGTTGCGTTTCCAGAGCACTGCCTTTCCCGGCGGAATTTTGGTTCAGTAATAAAATGCCCAAAGAAATTTGGCAGACGATCCAACCTCTATGAACCTTCAAAATAGCACTGTGCCGTTATTGTTAATATCGTTAGTTCGACTTCGACTGCTGGACTCGCTACATTTTGCTGCGGAGCTGCTCCTCTTTTTGAGGGCACGTGGGGGGTCCGTTTTGATCTCCCTTGTTCAACAAGATTATATTTCTACGCCCCTGTATATATATATATAATTATATATATATATATATATATATATATATATAACTATACTAGTAATATATAATTATTATATATATATGTCAGCAGCTTTATATCACAGAGCCTACATGCATACGATATCAGCTATATACAGCACAGTAGAGCTATTACCATGAGGTGTTATAATATAGACTAGTATGTATTCTATCTAATCGTATCTATATATATATAATATAGGAGAGAGATATAGGATGGAGATGGAGGAGGAGAGGAGAGGAGAGTAAGAGAGGAGAGGATGAGAAACGAGAGGGGAGAAGGAATTGAGATGAAAGGAGGGGGAGATAAGAGACGAGACGAGAGGAGAGGAGAGGAGAGGAGTAGAGGAGAGGAGGAGAGAGGAGAGAGGAAAGAGGGAGAGAGGAGAGATGGAGAGGAGAGGAGAGGAGAGAGAGGAGAGGAGAGTGAGAAGGAGAGGAAGAGAGGAGAGGGAGAGGAGAGGAGGAAGGAGCAGGAGGAGGAGAGGAGAGGAGAGGCGAGAGGAGGGGAGAGGAGAGGAGAGGAGGAGAGGAGAGTGAGAGGAGAGGAGAGGAGAGGAGAGAGGAGAGAGAGGAGGAGGGAGAGGAGAGGAGAGGAGAGGGAGAGGAGAGAGAGGGAGGGAAGAGGAGAGCGAGGGAGAGGAGAGAGAGGAGAGGAGAGGAGAGGAGGATGGAAGGATGAGGAGCAGGAGAGGAGAGGATGGAGCAGGTCCGGAGAGGAGAGGAGCAGAGACAGGAGAGGAGAGGAGAGGAGAGGAGAGAGAAGAGAGAGTCAAGGAGAGAGGAGAGGAGAGGAGAGGAGAGGAGAGGAGAGGAGAGGAGAGGAATCATTGCGTGAACAACTTGTCATACTCACATCGTTCATTCGTCCGCATCCACGGCGACATCCTCGCATCCTCGCAGCTTCTGTCGCCATGCCGACGCTCCGCATCTCTCCTCAGCTTCTTCTCCTTCATGCATCCATCGGGCATCCAGCGCCAAGTTGTTGGCCTTCGTAGTCTTTTTCTCGCGAGCGGCGAAGGAGGGGGGAGGTCGATCGCAGGTGAAAGTTCGCTGCCGTGAGTCCTAATCTGCACACCGCCCCCCCGCTGCTGCCCCGCCCCCACCGGCCCCGCCCCGCCCCCCGGCACCGCTAAATATCACATGTCCATTCTCGGCGCTGCTCTCGCTCCCCACGCGAGAACGAGCGTTCATCTCGTCGCTGCACTTCGAACGCTCGCGCGCGCCGTACTGGAATGAAGTCGTTTGTTTGTTTGTTTGTTTGTTTGTTTGTTTGTTTGCTTGTTCATCGTCTCTCGTTCTCGTTCTCGCCGTCGCTCCGTTCGTTTTTTTTAACGAGTTTTTGAAAGTTCTAACATTGTTTTTGGCATGTTGTCGTCGGCGGTGGCGGATGCGCCCGCTCCCGCGTCGCCGCGGCAACTGGACAACATTCCGCGCCGCGGCAGGAAGGGAGAGGCGAGTCCGCCACCGCACGCACGAGACGCGAGACTCCGCCTCTGCAGCCCTCTGTCCGAGCGCGCGCGCACGCCTCTCTCCTCTTCCCGCCGCCGCCCGCCCATGATGGCGGCGCCCCCTGGCGTTACGCGCACGGCAGCCAATCGGCTCGCTGGCACTGGCACGGCGCGGTCGACAACTTCTGCGCGGCGACCGTTGCCGACGACGACGACGACGACGACGACGGCGATCGCACGGGGTAGTAGTAGAACGTCTGGTAGCCGTTGCTGTACGAGAGAACCCTGGGAGGCGCCGCGGGCAACGCCCCCTGGGGGACGGGCGGCGACGGCGAGAGCGGACTCGAGCACGACGACGACGAACACGTAGAGGGCGCCGGCGACGACAGCGACGACGACGACGCAGACGACGGGGACGGCGACGGCGGCGCGCCGTACGCGCGGTAGGCGGCGTACGCGCTCAGCTCAAACTGCCGCCGCTGCTGCCGGCGGACGGCCTCCGAGTACGCTTCGTACGCGAACGACTGTATGAGCGCGAGGATCTGCCGCCGCTCGTGGCCCATCAGGCAGACGGTCGAGTTCGCGACGACGCTGTGAAGTATCGTCAGGTACGCGTACGGCCCCTCCTCCCCTCCTCCTCCTCCTCCTCCTCCTCCTCCGCCGCCGCCGCCTCCTCCGTCCGTGAAGTGGTTCTCGATGTACGACTCGATCTTGGCGCGCTGTGCGGAGAGCGTCGGGAAATCGATGAAGAAACGCGAGCACATGTACCGCTCGAGCTTTCGGATCCTCTCCGGGTCGGCGGCGAGGTAGCCGCGCGCGAGCAGGGCGCAGTACTTCAGCAGCCCTCCCCCGCGTATCTCCTCCGGGGCCCGCGTCGCGATCCTGCGCTCGCGGAGGTGCCGCAGCGACGCCGCGTAGTCGCCGTACGCGGACTCCGCGACGACGGTGGGGAAGAAGCGCCGCGACATGGCGACGGCCGCGTGGTCGTGGAACGCGAGCAGCGTGTCGAGGACGATCTGGAACGAGTCGACGCTGAACTCGAACTGCCGCCGCATCGTGTCGACGAACTTCAGCTCGACGTTCTTGCCGGCGTTGTTGTTCAGCGAGATGAGCGACCAGAGGTCGCCGCCGTCGCCGCCGCCGCGCACGCGCACCAGCTTCTTCACGTACGCCTCGGCGAGCACCGCCGTCGCGACGCCGCCGGGCAGCGCCCCCTGGGGGGCGAAGTCGACGAGGCAGGAGAGGACGACGTCGCGGACGCGGTCGACGGAGAGCGGGTCGGAGGACAGGTCGACGTGGAAGATGACGTCGAGGTCGTTGTAGGTCTGGTGGCTGGACGCGGCGACGATGTGGGAGGCGGCGCCGCCGTTGAGGCGCACCGAGCGGACGACGACGCCTTCGCGGTGGAGGCGCCGCCGTACCAGCGTCGTCAGCTGCTTCAGTTGGACGTAGAGTGCGGGGAAGTCTCCGCGGCCGTGCACCGGGATGACCTCGTCGAGGACGGAGTCGAGTCGCACGACCTCTTCGTAGGAGAGGACGGCGAATCGGCAGGCGTCTTCTTCATCTTCTTCTTCTTCTTCGGGTGTTTTCGTCGAGGGAGGTGGGTCCTCCCGTGCGAGTAATGTTCCGCCGCCGCCGCCTCCTCCTCCGGTCGGTAGGATTTCACTTTTCATGATCGCGGGGGGAGGGGGAGGTGGTCGCACTGGTCCGGTCGTCGTAACACACACCACGTTTAGGCGAGACGTACTGCTATGCTACGTTCGTGCAAACGATGTCGGGCGTTAGTACGTGTGCTCGCGAGTTTAGAGTATGCTTCTGATTTCCTTCTCTCTCTCTCTCTCGCTTTCGCTGCGTCTGTCTGTCTGTCTGTCTGTATCGAGTGTAGAGTTTTAGTCCGCGACGGCGACGATGAAACTGCGAGGTGTTGGTCGCTAGAGGCGGAGAAATTCGTCTGCGAAGCGAAGAGCGGTGCGAAGCGGTAAACAGCTGGTGCCGAATCACACCCGATCCCGTTACGGTGCGCCTGCGCGCCCTACATTCAAGAAACTCGACGACGTCGCGCTCACTTCGAACGAACGCGACGAAAAATAATGCGGCATTGTTGCGCGAAGGCGACGGATTCGAACGCGCGTGGATTTAGAATGTTTTTTCGTCGACTACGAGAGAGAAGTGCGCGTGAGGAGAACTACGTTTTGTGAGCGCGCGCATTGATACGAAAACAAGTGGAAAGAGATTTGTTGATAGGCGAACGGCGAATAATTGCAATGGAATGCAAGTGCAGTTAGTTCGGCTGCTGCCGCTGCTGCTACTGCTGCTGTTGGTGATGTTGTTGATGCTGCTGGTGTTGTTGTTGTTGGTGGTGATGCTGTTGCTTCTGCTGTTGGTGTGTTGCTGTTGTTGCTGTTGCTACTGCTGATACTGCTGCTGCTGCTGCTGCTGCTGCTGCTGCTGCTGCTGCTGCTGCTGATGGTGGTGGTGGTGCTGTTGCTGCTGTTGTTTTTGTTGTTGTTGCTGCTGTTGCTGTTGCTGCTGCTGCTGCTGCTGCTGGTGGTGGTGGTGCTGTTGCTGGTGTTGCTGTTGTTGTTGTTGTTGTTGTTGTTGCTGCTGCTGTTGTTGTTGCTGCTGATGCTACTACCACTGCTGTGGTGGCGGTGATATTGGTACTACTTCTGCTGGTGATTCTTTAACTGCTGCTGCTACTGTAGTTCTACCGCTTTAGCCTCATTTGCTCTCGCTACAGGCCGGCGGGGGGGGGGGCAAAAAGGCTACGCCGGTAGAGCTACTGCTACTGCTACTGCTGCTGCTGCGGCTGGTGGTGCTGTTGTTGTTGTTGTTGTTGATGCTAATGCTAGTGCTGTTGCTGCTGGTGGTGGTTGTGCTGCTGTTGGTGTGTTGCTGTTGCTGTTGCTGTTGCTGTTGTTGATGCTAATGCTGTTGCTGCTACTGCTGGTGGTGGTGTTGCTGCTGTTGGTGTGTTCTGTTGCTGTTGTTGTTGCTGCTGCTGCTGCTGCTACTACTACTACTGCTACATATGGACCAGGACTGAGGGGTCCCTCAGGGGGAGAATTTGCCCGCAAAGAAAACGTGGGGGAGCCCGCGAACCAAAAATTTTTTGAACAAAAAAAAGGAATTTTTTTTATCAAACGTCGTTCGTTACTATACTACCTTATATGTGTTATTTACTAGGCGTGCATAAAAATTGAGATATATATATTTATATTATGTACTGTGATATTGAACTACTATATATATGTGTTATACATGCCAAATGCTGAGGTTTTTTTCTGTACTTGCAACCATATAAATATAAATATTAGTCTTCAAAGTCCAAGGGACTATATCGAAGACGGAACATGGAAACTTGGAAGTGTAACTGCAAGGAAAAAAAAGCCTCAGTTCTTATCAACCAAGAAAAACAAGAGGCGATCGCTGGTAGAGATTTTTTTTGGCACGAACAAAAAAACCGACGGTAACATTTCCTTCACACATTCTATATGCGGTTACTGCATTTACCGTGTTGGGCGATAGTATGAACTAGATATCACTATAACTCACCATCACTAAGTCACCTGCTATTTGTATGACAGCTCTACTTACATACACACGCGCGCGTGCGCGCACGCACGTACGCACGCGGTCATAGCATAGAGGGGGGGGGGCAGGAAAGAGAACAAAATGTAAGTGTGTGAGGGGAGGGAAGGTAAGGGCGAGGCAGGCAGGACGGAGATAGGAAACGTTGAAGCAAACCAAATGGTAGGAAGAGAGAGAGAGAGAGAGAGAGAGAGAGAGAGAGAGAGAGAGAGAGAGAGAGAGAGAGAGAGAGAGAGAGAGAGAGAGGAGGAGGGGGAGGGAGGGGA